ACAACTAAAATAATACAATTATCGTTAAGTATATTTATCCAAAGCATTTAATAAACTCTCAGAATTTATTCCAATGAAGATGGAATATTTAGACTATCAGAATTTTGCTGAATTTGGTATATTTTTTCTGAAAATTTTTGTGGCATTTTCCAGGTGTCCATGATTGATGCTATTCCTACACTTGTAAATGCAATTAAAATGATCTATAATATCTCTCATTACTATAACACCTCTGAGAAGATCACATCTCTGTTTGTAAAGGTAAGTGCATAGTGTAGAGTCTGTGGTCAAGTACATTTCTTTGACAATGGTCATGTTTTTAATAATTATAAATTTGCCACATTGGCACAGTCCAATGTGTATACATAGTATAGCTTATCATTTCTCTTAGGGTATCAGTAGAGATATAATTAAATTTATATGAGAGGCTGATTCTAGCAAATCATAAGACTTTATTTCCCAAAATAATTATTATAATAAATATTTTTGTATTTGTGTAATAAAATTAAAAAATGATTCTATTTTGGTATTTCTGTATATTATTGAGCATATCATTTTTTTCTATTGGGTAAATTTTAATTAAGAAAAACTATAACTGCTTATCTCCTGTTTCATATTTTATATGCTACTATTCCAAATTTATTTGATGCCACAGTTGTTTACTTGGTGTTATTAGAACAGTAATCATGGTAATAAAAGCCACTCGCAATGTCCCTGTAATCTATAAAGCAATTATAATGATTCTGCCAAAAAACATAATGATTCTTAAGCCTTATGTTCTAACTCATAAGTGTTTATGGTAAGCACTGTTGCTAGTTCCTTTTTAAACAGTCTCTAAGAAGTAAATGATTTTCATTATCAAGGCAAAAATCTTTAAATATGGCATTAAAATAGATGAATTTTTGACTCATCAAGACTTGTGTTCTGAATATGAATGAAGTAGGAGGCATAAATCTTGCTGAGATTAGAGACATGCAGCCTTTAGAGGTCCCTGGGAAACTTTTTCCTTCTTTCCTGTAGGTAGTTCAGGTAGAAAGGAAGGATGTCGGCAAGATTCTTTCCCTACTTCTTCATAGTTTAAAACTACATATGAGCGTTAGGGAGAATATTCCCTGAGTAAATGAGACTCAAATGTCAATTTAGATAATTAATCTAGATTTCATGCACATTATTTACAAGACTTGATTTAGAATAAAAAAGTGTATCAGTCCATTTTGTGCTGCTATAAGGAAAATTGAGGCTGGGTAATTTATAAAGAAAGATTTATTTGGCTCACAGTTCTGCAGGCTGTACAAGAAGCCTGGTGCCTGCATCTGCTTCTGGAGAGGCATCAGGGAGCTTCTGTTCAAGGAGGAAGGGGAAGGGGGGCAGGCAGACCACGTGTTGAGAAAAGAAACAGGAGGGAGGAGGTGGTGGGTGTCAAGCTGCTTTAAACAACCAGCTCTTATCTGAACTAAAAACTCACTCATTATCTCGAGTGGGCACCAAGCCATTCATAACCAAACTGCCCCCATGACCCAAACACCTCCTACCAGGCCCCACTTCCAACCTCCTGGGTCAAATTTCCACGTCTAAACCACAAAAAAAAAAAGGTGAAAGAACCATTTATCTAGTTATCAAAATGCTTTAATTATGGAAATTTTGAAGTAGGTACAATGGAGAGAGAATTGTGTCTTGATCCCCCGTGTACTGTCACTCAGAGTCAGCAGCTCCCACCCAACATGTGGCCGACCTTGTTTCACCTGTACCCCCATCCCTAGCACTGCAAGGCCTGGCACCTCTATTCTTTGCAGTGTACATCCTGGGCATCATGTCATTCTATGAGCTTAGTACAACCATTCCATTTTCCTTTTAATTTATTAAAAAAAAGTCAATAAATCTCTGATGGATTTGTATAAAGTTCAGAGGGCTGAATAAAATGTTCGTGGTTTTGAACATTAGCTTTGCTCTTTTCTGTGGGGACTTCTTTTGACAGTTCTGCTGCAGATCATGGTGGCATGAAAAGATCAGGGTGCACAGCACTTTATACGGCCCTGAGCAACTGCGAGTCAGGTGTTAGAGCAGCCTACCCCAGCCGCTGGGGGGGAACTCATCAGTTTTTAGGTATGGAAGTGAATGTTTCCTTGGTTGGTTAAGACATTCATTCTGCAGAAACAAGGGGGCCTGAATTGTTGACTTTCCTTGGTGCTACCAACTCGGTGATTCCACACATGATTTTGCAAAGGACAGTGTTACAGTGTTTGCTCATCACTGTGATGGAAAAAAATAAACACCAAGTTTGCAGATTGTGAACTCTGAGAGGTAGAGGAGTTAAGGACCCTCAAGTCCAATTTATAATCCAAGCCGTCTTATGTACTTAACATAATTTTGCTGGAAAATCCTAGGTGACCAATCAGATGATATCTGCATGCAAAGCCTACATTACCAACAATGGAACCGCTTCCATCTGGAACCAGCCGCAGGATGTTGTGGTGAAAAAAATATTATCTGCAATTAAACTGAAGGAGGTAACGGTTAGCTTAGTAACCTATGTAGGTATTTTATTATTTTTATGTTATTTTTGTTGAAGCCATCTTAAATCATTTAGCAATTATTGTATTACTGGTTGCTAAAAAGAACAGCAATTCTTTACTGTCAAGAAAATTGAGTGTTAATAAACCTTCCCAGAAAATGTATTAACTTTTTCTACTCTGTTGAGAGTCTACTGTGTCCTGATAGCATACTACAAAGATGACTAAGATGAGGTAGATTTCTTTTTGTGTCTTCTACTTAGATCAGGCGTCCTCAAACTATGCCCACGGGCCACATAATGCCCGCCCAGGACATTTATCCAGCCCGCTGGATGTTTTTGCCGCTGCTGCCTGTCCTGGGGCTCACAGTCCTGGGGCTCACAGTCAGGCCTTCCAGTGGTCTGAGGGACAGTGAACTGGTCCCCTGTTTAAAAAGTTTGAGAACCCCTGATAGGGGAACAGACTTAGAATGATGCTATTCCCCAAACAAGGGGACCAACATAGGAAGGCCACACCTTTGGATTCTATCATGAATAACTGAGAGTGTGCTAGATTGGAGGATGGGAACAGGCGCTATTCCAGCCTCAAAGGCATGAAAGTTTGAAAGGACTTCAATTCTATCCTAACTTCCTGTCACCTTCACTTGGAAGGGTTGTTTCTTATATGTGTCTTTTTTGATATTCAGGAATACCAGCATTGCTTTCACAAGACAAAACAAAAGCTTAAACAAGATCCGAGTGCAAAACAATTTGAATTTAGTGAGATGTACATTTTTGGAAAATTTGAAACTTTTCATCGACGGCTTGCCAAGATAATAGACATCTTCACAACCTTCAAGACATATTCAGTCCTGCAAGAGTCTACCATTGAAGGGCTGGAAGATATGGTCACTAAATACCAGGTATTGTACTTTAAAACTGTACTTGGCCTCATTATCCAGAACTGAACTTCAATATTTTATGTGAATAACTATGTTTAGAATGATTCAAATCATGGCGTAAAATATATAATCTCATGGCCCTTTAATAATGAGGAAATTAGATTTATTTGAGAATTGTGAAATGGTGCTAATATGTTCTCTTCAGGTGTTTGGTTATTAGAATGGTTTACCAATAGTCTAAAATTAATTACCATTAGGAAAAAGCATTTTCATTAGCAGCACAAGAAATATGTTTAATTATAACTTATTATTTCATTGATTTATGCAAGAAATATTTATTTAGAATATACTGTTTTGGCCACTAGTTGACACCAAGTTTGGAGTGGCATCTGCTTATCTCTGCATTTAAGCGTTTTATTTGGATACGTGTAAAAAATTTAAAGAACAAGATTTTATTCTATCTCTAAAATTCATCATTATTTTGATTTTTACCTACTTTATATTGTGAAAATATCTGTGTGACTCATCTTAGTTTTGAAAATCGGCATGTTGATCTCATAAAACAAAATGTGTTTAAGTTCTTAGTGTAGAGATGGTCAATTTTTTCTCATTTGGGCACAGTGACAGGAAAACTTAAATTCGTTTTTGTACTTGAATTTGAAAAGGATCACATAATTAACTGCCACCCATTAATCATTATACTCTAGCACTTGAGCCCAATATAAGGAATCTTTTTCATTTCTTGAGTATACCAAATTTTGGGAGAGAAAAAAGAAAAACCTTCCTATAGCAGCAAACCTTTAAGGTGTACCGTGTATCATCTACAAAGTGGTTAGTCTGTACTTCGAAAGTGACAGTTTTTGAAGACAAAGAGGCCATACATCCATTTATTTTTCAGTTTGGAATCTTATAAATTATTTTCTATTTTTAAATGAAAAGATCACTTTGGAGCGTATGTCAAAGTTTATTTTCAAGTGCAATGTTGAAGTGTACGTCTAAACGCAGGTAAGGAGTCTGTTCTAAACTGATAAAAATACTGGGGAATCACTTAGGAAATATAAAGTAAAGTTTTGGTTAGTGTGGATACCCAGTGATAAAAGATGGATGGTGCTTGAAAGCGTAAGGTAAAAATGTCTTGTATTAGTGCCATGTATTAGTGCCATGGCACTAATACATTAGTGTCATGTATTAGTGCCATGGCATCTGCAGAAATGAATTTCACATTTTTCTGCGTGGCTGTTGAGGCCCTGCCACCCCCAGCTTCCTCCTCTGTTCTCTTCTCATTTGATAATTTTCAGCCACAGGAGAGTGGTTCAGTCTACTTAGGGCTTGCAGAGCCTTTTTTTCTGGAAAGTTCTGCCTCGGGACCATCATGTGATTACTTGTTTTTTGGCTCCCAGATTTTGACTTAAATGGCCTTCTCAATTCAGTTTCTTTCAACTTCTGTTTCACCTAAATCACTCCATGACCCGTTTTATCACTGTCTGAAATGATCACCATTTATTTGTGACTTAGTCTATTCTGACCCCTCCATTGAGTATATAAATTCCCCGAGGGTAGGGACATTTGTCCTTTCTGTTCATTCTGTATCTTTAGAGGCTATTATCACATAACCAGTGTGCAGTAAATATCTGCCAAGTAGATGATTTGATTGAGAATTGCTATATATATACATATTTTTGTAATTAATGCAGCAGGAAAGAGTAGGTTGTTTTAACTGGTAAACTTGGTTCAAGAAGTTCTGTAGTTTGTACACTTCTGTCTATTGAGAGATTTGAATTGGTGTTTAAAAGGAAACGACTTTGAAGAGGAGACTGTAGGAGTCCCAATACTCTTCATAAAAATTATATGTCTCTGTCAACAATGTGGGCACCTGAGTTTGTGAATGGCTTAGTACCTGGTTAAGAATGATCACGGAGCATTATAGCTCAATATTCAGAGCAAACAAAGCTTCTGATAATAGTGTTTTCGAGGAGATGAACTGCCTAATTTGTACTTCCATGGTCACCGACTGCACCTTTGCAGGGCAGCAGGAAGCAATCAATTCTAGAGAAGTTTTAAGTGGTAGATTGTGGTTTGACACTTTAAGACATTTGAGGCATGGACGATGGTAATTTTTCTGTAGCTTTTAGAACGTGATTCTTTTCTTCTGACTTGTTTGTGTTCTGTTAAAGCCTCATTTATTTTTCTGAGAAGACTGAAACTTTTCCACACAAATACTTTAGTAAATTCCACTCTGGCTGACTCTTTTTATTATTTCAGATGATTAACAAGACATGTTTAGAGGAGATGCCTCTTCTAATTTTCAGATGTGGTTTGTATTTTATTTTTTCAAAAATACGTAAAACCTCATGAAAACGCTTTCCAAATGATTTCTTTGAATACAATAAGGCAACATTACACTGCCCATAAAATAGGAGGCACTAAGCAACGTTTGTAATTAAAGAAATAAGGTTTCTGCTAAACTGATTTTTTGAGAGTGATTGTACAGGTTCTCCATTGAGGATTCTATTTAGTTAAGGAATACAAGGATATTGAAATACTATCTTATTTCTTTCGTAACATTTCAGGGCATTGTTGTGACCATAAAGAAAAAGGAATATGATTTCTTAGACCAGCGGAAAATGGATTTTGACCAAGATTATGAAGAGTTTTGCAAGCAGACCAGTGACCTTCATGTAGGTTGTATAATAAAATTGCTATTGACAGTCATGTGTTTATTTTTCCTGTCTGTGTAATGTTGTTAATCATTACCCATTCAGACTGCAGAGGTGTCTTCATCATGGAGGTGACCCACAGCAACCTCAGCCTGCATTTTGTGATTTCGGATTAATACTTGAGGGCTCTTTTCCACAGATTGAAGGGTCCTAAGTACAGCTTTGGATAATGATGCAATCAGACTTCTGCATGGCTTCCCCTTAAGATTTTTGGAAGTTACTTTTTGTCATCCATGGACTCTTTATAGCATTATTAGAGACAGACCTTTATTTCCATTTGTCACTGAATAACACTGATTATGACCAGAGGTAACTCAAACGAATGGGCAGTGACGTCTGGCATATCTAAGGCAGGTCCGTAGCGGGTCTTAGAAATGGCGGTATTAGGACAGACTCAGCCCCTGGACCCCCTCGGCCTTTCTTTTACTCCCTGCCTCCCTCTTCACTGTTCACTAGCTGTCCTGTCCTACATCCCTCAAGAACAGCAGATGGCCACCATCAGCCTCTGAGAACATAGCACAGGACCATCCTAGCTTCAGACACCTGGGGAAGGGTTGGGTTGGCCAGGTCTATGGGTGTGCCTTGCCTCGGACTTCCCAACTCTGGGATCATATGGTAAATGCATGGGGGATGGAACCCACTGGGGTGGCTGTAAATGTTTGTTACCAGGAAAGAGAGGTCAGGGAGGGTAAGGTGAGGTGACAGCCTGCCAAGTTTCTACCAAAATGAATATGTAGACTTTTTTCCATCCCAGTGAGGTGCAAATGTGCATCTTTCTGACTATAAGAAGAAAAGGACCATTCCATTACTTCTTTCCCAGAATTTTTGGTTTGAATTAAATCTGTACATTTCAAGGGCAGAAAAGCTCAGAGGCATCTTTGCACGAGTGAATTCAGTATTAGAAGGAATAGTAATAAAACTAGCTAATTCTGTGGGCCAGGTACTGTTCTAAGCAGTTTATATGTGCTACCTTATTTACGTAATCACGGTAATTTTGTAGCGTGGGTGCTTTTAGTACTCTTATTTTGTAGAGAAGGAAGCTGGGGCACAGTGGGGTTGAGTGGCTTGCCCAAAGTCACGGAAATGACCAGTGGTAGAACTGGGGTTAAACTCAGGCAATCTGGCTTTAGAATTCAAGTTTTTACCGATTATGTGATACAACATGTTTCAGCTCATAGGAAAATAGAATGCCTACAATAATGCAAGCAATAATCTCTGTGGGGAGGCGGGTTCAGACATAAGCATCTCTTCTCATTGGAAACTGATGGATAGTGGCAGATATTTTGATTCCGTAATCTGTGGTCAGTATCCATTTGTGGGGGTCTTAACTGTGTTTCCCTAGTGGTTTTTGATCACGTGGCACGTCCGAGCTTGTATGTGGAATTCAGTTAGAAGCACCTGGAGAGGAGGGACTATGTTGTGTTCCTTTGTTGCTAAGGTGTAGAGTTGCTGCAGTGAAGCAAGCATTTGCTGCGCAGCTACTACATATTATTATTCTATGTTGTGGGTTATCAAACCAGAAATAAATCAAGGAGATTTTCCCTTGAAAGTCACAGGCAGACGAAAGGCAGACAGTGAAGAATTGAAGTATAAGTTCGTAGATACTAACAGAATAATAAATACAGGACTAAAAAGGGACAATGGGGGCTAAAAGGACTAGTTATAAGTGAACGGTATTCTGATATTATACCAGAAAGTGAAGATTCAAAGGCAAGAACCATACTGAAAGTCTTACAAAAATTTATAGGGAGGAAAAGCCTGCAGAACATTATGTATGATATGTGATCATTGCTACCACCTGTGAGATAGGGTGTGAGCCTAGGAAAAAATAGTCCCGTACTTCTTGGCTGGGGTTTGGAAAGGCTTCAGAGAAGAGATTATGCCCCGTGCTGGAAAGATGTTATGTGTTTTTTTTTAAATTATTATTAAATATAGCTGTGTACATTAATGTAATCATGGGGTACAGTGTGGTGTTTTCACATACAATTTGAAATGTTTTCATCAAACTAGTTAATATAGCCTTCATGTCATTTTCTTAGTTATTATGTTAAGATGTTTGTATTCTACTTTTAGAAAGATTTGCTGGAACCCTTGTAAGATAAACCATAGAGGTGATACCTCGAGTCACCCTCCACCCACCCCCCTCCCCTCCCCTCCTCCCTCCCCATATTCTTAGGCTATAATTAAGTTATAGCTTTCCTATGAAAGCTATAAATTAGTTTCATAATAGGGCTGTGTACATTGGATACTTTTTCTTCCCTTCTTGAGATGTTTGTGTACATTGGATACTTTTTCTTCCATTCTTGCAAGTAAACAGTAGGAATAAATGGGGTGGGGAGACCTTTTCGGGCCTGTGGCCACTTCTTACATATTACAGTATGTTGTTATAATTGTTTTGTTTCATTACTAGTAATTGCTGTTACCCTCTTACGGTGCCTAATCTGCAAATTAAACTTGATCATAGGTGTGTATGAATAGGGGAAAGCATTGTACACACAGAGTTCACTACCATCTGTGGTTTCAGGCATCCACTGGGGGTCTTGGAACATATCACCAAGGACAGGGGAGGACCACTGTATTCTTCTCAACCTTTTTTTTTTAAGCCCCAAACTTAACTCATCTTGACTTCCGTCTTAGAAATGGTGCCCTTCTATCTCTGATTTGCTGATGAGTTTTCCTTTGGCGTCTTTGTTCTGTTCTCTATTCTCTTTGTTTTAACTGACCACTTTACATTGACTCCTTCAAATACCCCTCTCATGAGCAGAACCCTCATCCCTGTAAAGTGGAGGCAAAAATATTTGCCTTCTCAAGACTCTAGATGGAGTGAGTAGGGGTTGCATCTTGGAGACCAGGAATGGAGAGACTCGCTACTGTGACATCTCAAGGGCAAGACTTGGGATGGGGGGCTCACGAGTGATTTGGATCAGGGTTGTGTCCAGAGCTGTGCCGTCTAGTGGATCAAGATCAGGAATCCTGTACAGATTTAGGGTTCTAGCAGGTCAAAAAGTAGCAGGGTGCTGGAACCAGGTGCGCAGTTGGAAGTCTGGAAATGTCCTGATTCCAGCAGAGAAGTGGGGCCCTGTTCAGTAAGGGAGCGGCTGTCAAGGTGGCAGGCTGAGGAGAAGCTGAGACCCCAGAACCAGCAGGGAGACTAGTGTGACGATTCCACAGCCCAGGCCCCGAAGGCTTCAAGAATGGACTGAAGGCTCAGAGCTAAAAGGAAACTAATTTAAGGTCTTACGTGTTCATGGAGTTCAGCCTAGGTTTTGTGAAGCCATAGGGCAAAAGGCAAGGAAGAGCAGGTACCAGTGTTGGGGCTCAGTAAAGATTTGCTGGCGTCTGAGGAGAGGGAGGCAGTGGAAGGTTCAGAGATGTTATAGTTCTGCATCGAGATTTTTACCCAGTGAAAAAGTTGATGCGTGTTTAGGTAGACTAACTGTACTGTTCTTCAGTGGAGAGAATTTTCTTGATCCTAAAATGTGGTCTTTGCAGAAGAATTAAGACCACATTTAAAAATATATACATGTGTTCAGTAGAAGTAGCAGGAAGTGTTGAGGGCAAGGACAGATCGCAAGAGGCTTCAAGTTTGTGGCTTTGCTGAATGGGGCGGAGAGCTTTGGCCCCTAATCCCCGGATAGTTTTACCTCCTCATCTGGTAGTGTCTCCCGTGGTGGCCTGGATATTGCCAGCTGGTTTTTTTTTTTGTCTTGCCAAATTACTTGTGGCTCAACATTGTCTAAAACCAAGCCCATCTAGGTACTAGTAATAATTCCTGTGTATCAGGTTGGCTACCCATTTCAATACCGCGTCAATTGACGTCGTTTTAAATTTGCAGAGGCTCAGAACTTCTGTCTGGGAAGTTGAAAACAATGGGTTGAAGCCCGGACTAGGAAATAACGAAAATAACTGCTCTGTGTTTAATTTGGATTTTAGTGACAACTCTGCGCTAAATCTTGAACAAAAACTAATTGCGCTTAATTTTTTTGGTGCAATTTTTTTGAGAGAGGGTACAAAATGGTACAATTGCATGAGATGTGTGAGGTTCCCAGGGCAACTCACAATGGCCTTTTGGGAAGCATATTTGAGGGTTTGACAAAAGAGATTATTTTTAAACCCCTTGATATTGAAGTCATTAATTTTTTGCAACATGTTTTATGTTTATTGAGTTTTTAAAAAAAATCTTAATTTTTGATTAATCTCACACCCTAGATTCTCATTTTCCAGGTGCTCTGGGTCTGACTCTGCCTTCCCCTCCCCCTGGTCAACTTTGCCAAAGACCTATCTGTTATTTTTTTTTTCCCCAAAAAGGTAGGTTTTGAGGTATTAATCATCTCTCTTGTTTTTTTTATTTTTTTTATTTTTTCTGAGACAGAGCCTCAAGCTATCCCCCTGGGTAGAGTGCCGTGGCTTCACAGCTCACAGCAACCTCCAACTCCTGGGCTCAAGTGAGTCTCCTGCCTCAGCCTCCCAAGTAGCTGGGACCACAGGCGCCACCACTATTTTTTTTTTTACAAGTTTTTTTTTTAATTGAATGGTAACTATGTATATTAATGCACTTCTGGGGTACAGTGTGGGGTTTTCACATGCAATCCAAAATACTTCCATCAAACTGGTCAACACAGCCTTCATGTCCCGGCTATTTTTTGGTTGCAGCCATCATTGTTGTTTGGCGGGCCCAGGATGAATTTAAACCCGCCACCTTAGGTGTATGTGGCTGGCTCCTTAGCCACTTGAGCCACAGGCACTGAGCCAATCATCTCTCTTGTTTGTTTTTAAGTTTATTACATTTTGTTTTAAAACACTTTTTTCTACTTTCTTTGTATTTATGTTGTTACACTTATCCACCTTTCTTTAATGGACTCCTTAGCTCATTAATTTTGGTTTTTCTTTACTTTTTGAAATAGATACATAAAAGGCTATGCTTTTCCACTGAGGGCTGCTACTGCTGTTTCTTACAGATGTTCCTGTGCAGTACACATGTTGTCATTCAGTTTAAAAATCACATATTTTTCATTATTATTTGTTATCTTACTCATGGATTATTTAAAATTATATTTATGGCTTGCCTGTCATACTTCATTGGCTCTCATTTTATCACTGATTGGGATTTTTATTATATTGTGGGGTAACAATGTGGAACACATTGTATTAGCGTGTTGGTATTTACAGAGATGGCCTCTGTGACAAACAGAAATGTAGACAAATATTTGGCAGAATTGCCCAAGGGTAGGAAAAAAGGCTATTTACACCTAAAGCATCTGGCAAATGAGACTCTAGCGGAGTGAGATTAATCAAAAATTAAAATAAAAAAGTTCACAGTTAAGATTTACAAATGTTCTGAATGTACTAGGAAGAAAAGTAGTGTTGCCTCTCGGGATTTGAGTTCTTTTTATGTTACTGTATCAAGCCTTTGATTGGGTTATTTAAATATATTTTTTTCAAAAGATTTTTTTTTAGGCTCACAGCAAAATTAAAAGGAAGGTATAGAGATATATTTTTATTTATTTATTAAATCATAGCTGTGTATGTTAATGCAGTCATGGGGTACAATGTGCTGGTTTCATATACAATTTGAAATATTTTCATCAAATTGGTTAACATAGCCTTCATGGCATTTTCTTAGTTATTGTGTTAAGATGTTTGTATTCTACACCTAGTAAATTCCACATGTACCCTACCTTGTAAGATGCCCCATGAGTGTGGTCCCACCAATTACCCTCCCTCCACCCATCCTCCACCATCCCCTCCCCTCCCTCTCCCCTTTCCCCTTCTTCTTGGGTTATAGTTGGGTTATAGTTTTCATATGAAAGCTATAAATTAGTTTCATAGTAAGACTGAGTATACTGGATACTTTTTCTTTCATTCTTGAGATACTTTGCTAGGAAAATATGTTCCAGCTCCATCCATGTGAACATGAAAGAGGTATATTTACTGTATTTCCCTTGGCCTCCAAATGTAGAGCTGCCCCCATTATCAACACCCCCCACTGGAGAGGCACGTTTATGGCAACTGGTGAAACTACATGGACACAGCATTACCATCCAATGAAGGGATCGTTCCTGGTGTAGGACAGTCTACGGGTTTACACAAACATGCAAGGACATGTATGCGTCACTCGTTACAGTGTCACGCAGAGTTTTCACTGGGGAACCCTCTGTGCTTCACTGATCATCCTCCTTTCTCTGCGACTTCTATTCTTGCTGTCTCTACAGTGTTGAAATTTCCAGAGAGTCACATACTTGGGACCATAGAGCAGGTAGCCTTTTCAGACTGGCTTTTGCTACTTTGCCACATGCATTTAAGTGTCCCTCATGTCTTTTCATGGCTTGCTTTTAGTGCTGAATAATATTCTGCTGTTCAGAATATTATTAAATCATAGCTGTGTACATTAATGCAGTCATGGGGTACAATGTGCTGGTTTGTCCACCCTTTCACACACTGAAAGACAGCTTGTTTGCTTCCAAGTTTTGGGAATTATAAATAAAGCCATTATAAACATCCGTATGCAGATTTTTGTGTGCAGATGTTTTTAACTCCTCTGGGTAAATAACCACGAGGGACAGTTACCGGATTACATAGAGTATTTTCAGTTTTGTAAAAATCCATCAAACTGTCCCTTCCCACCAGCAGGGAATGAGAGTTCCCTTTGCTCCTTGTCTTGGCTGGCATTTGGTGTCGTCTATGTTTGGGATTTTGGCCATTCTTTAATTTAGTATATTAAATATTATGTTCACCTGCTTTATCTTGGTCTGTTTTATGTTGCTGTAACAGAATAGTATTTGTTTATTTATTTATTAATTTATAAATTTTGTCACTCTGTCTGTCTAGCTAGAGTGCCCTGGTGTCTTAGCTCATGGCAACCTCAAACTTTCGGGCTCAGGTGATCCTCTTGCCTCAGCCTCCTAAGTAACTGGGACTACAGGTGCCCACCATGATGCCTGGCTAGATTTTCTGTTTTTAGTAACGATAGGGACTTGCTCTTGCTCAGGAACAGAATAATTTACTAATTTTAGTTTGCAATTTATTTTTCTTCAGCACTTAGCAGATCTTTTCCTTCCATTGATTTTTTTGGTGTCTATTATTTTCAATGAGGTATTTGTTATCAAATAGTTATATCTTTATAGATAATTTGCTGCCCCACCCCAACTGCTTATGTACAGGGCATTCTAAAGGTCATCCATAAAGTTGCTATACATAAGGAAAATGGGAAATTGTAGCTAAATGTACCTTTATTTATAAATAGTCATTACAAAGTTTACAAAGAGGTGGCCAGCAAGTAGAGAATATTTTGTAAGATTTTGTAATGACTATTTTGTAAATGTACAATTAGCTACAATTTCGCATTTTTCCTCTTTATGGATGATCTTTGGGACACCTGTGTTATTTTTCTCTTTATCTTTGGCATCTCTGTGTGAGTCTTGGTGTGATTTTAAAGCAAAATATTTCTGTTGTTCAGAATTTGGTGGTTCCTTCATTTGTGTATTTGTCTTTTTTTTAATTGTGGAAAATTCTCAGCCTTTATCATTAGACCCTTCTTCCAAAACTTCCAATAGATGAATGCTAGATCTTTCTCTATCCTCCATGTCTATTAGCCTCTTTTTTGTATTTTTCATTTTTTAATTTTTCTGCTATGCTTGGGGTAACTTATTTTAAAATTCTCTTACAGCTTGTCATTTTTCAGGTATATATAATCTGCATCCATTGTATTTTGAAGTCTAATGGTTTTCTCTTTTATGTTTTATTTTTAAAATCTGAGCTGGGCACGGTGGCTCATTTCTATAATCCTAGCACTCTGGGACGCCGAGCTGGGTGGATTGCTTGAGCTCAGGAGTTTGAGACCAGCCTGAGCAGGAGTGAGACCTCATCGCTAGAAATAGCTGTGTCTTGTGGCAGGCACATGTGGTCTTAGCTCCTCAGGAGGCTGAGGCAAGAGGGTCACTTGAGTTTGAGGTTGCTGTGAGCTGTGACACCATGGCACTCTACTGAGAGCTAAACAGTGAGACTCTCAACAAAACAAGAAAATCTGAGTGCTTTATTTGATATTGTTCTTTTTATTTTTAAATATTTATTTATTTATGTATTTATTTTCAGATTAATAGGTGGGGACAGATGACTAGGTTACACTGTTTGCATTTGTTAGGGGACGTTCCCCCGGGGGGGGGGGTCTGGGGTGTACCCTTACATTGTGCACATTAGATGAGCGCTTACCCATCCCTGCCTCTTCTCCTCTGCCCTTTCCCCCCCCTTCCCCTTACGCTGTTCTTTTAAGTGCAGTTTCTTACTCTTTAATAACTCTAAACACACCTACAGTCTCTTTCAGACTGTTCTATCATCTCTATGATAGAACCTGCTTAAAACCTAGTTCTGTTTGTGCATTCTGCTCTCTTTCAAACATCATTTCTTCATTCTCTTCTCAATTTATTTTTGAGCTTACCTTCCCTAGCAGCTATTTATTTGATTTCCTGTAGGAGTTTTGTGGCGCTGGGCTTTGGGAATGTTTTCTGTAGAGTGGCGGTGCATTGCCTTTGCGGGGGCCTGAGTAGTTTTTTCCCAGATTAGCTTTTACGTTAATTTTTTTTAGATTAGATGCCTTTTATCTTAAGTGTAATATAAACTTAGTCTAATTCAATTAAACCTAATCTAGGAGTGGCACAGGGGTGGCATTTGAGTTGTTCTGGGGTGGGGGTCAGGACACTGTGCTAAGGGCCAAACTGTGGTGGCCTATAATATTCATATTCATGCAAGTCCATGCTGCTTTGGCCCCACAGTGCTAGAGGTGAGCGGCTGTGAAAGAGACCCAGGTCTCACAAAGTGCACGGAGAAAGTCCAGAGCCCTCTGTAGGGTGACTTCCTGCCTCTCCACCCCAATTCATGGCTCTGGGCTGATGTCAAGACCCTTTGCTGCTTCCCTGACTTGTAAATAGTCCTTTAGTTTCCTTTGCACGGACCAGGCAGCATTTTAAAGATCCTGGCTTTCTGAAGCGTCTGTTGAGAGTGTTCCACAGTCCCTCTCTCCACAACGTGACAAGCCCAGTGCCTTCCCTGCCGAGACCCTGTGTCTGGCCCAGCGCCCGTGGAGCCTGCCGTGGTGCCAAGTCCCACACGGCTCTGGCTTTCGTGTCCCTCTTTGTTTCTGGCTTCTGGGCTTTTGTCTGTCTTTTAAGCTCATTAAATTTTCTGTTATATTTTATTATGTATTGTATGTATTTGTAGAGAATGGGGAGCTCTCTTATCTTGTTGCAAAATAGGACATTCCCAATTCTAATTCATTGTTCGTAATCGGATTTTGTTCTATTTTAGAATGAGTTGCAGAAGTTCATGGATGTTACGTTTGAAAAGATTCAAAACACAAATCAAGCTCTAAGCATGTTAAAGAAATTTGAAAGGTAAAAATCTGAAATAATTTCCTAACTTTCATGTCTAAAATTGGGGTAATGTGAACTTAGTTTACTTTCTATTATCATTGCTGTGATTATCATTATATGAAATAATTTTCATATTCTAATGGAAGAAAACCCTCTCTTGACAACATGGGTTACAAGGCCAAAGTTTTATAAGTTCTTTGGAGGATTAAAAGGATTAATCCTTTTAAGGATTAAGGGTCTGTTTTATTTCTTCAAATAGAGAATACTCTCAGCTTTGAAGTACCTTGTAATATTAGTAGCCTTTAGTAATATTTCCTAATGTTTAAGTAATTTGAAAAAATTCTTTCCGAGCTAACAGTTTTGCCTACATTTGAAGGATGGATACTATTTTGATTTTTTAAATGTACCACACAAATATCTCATTCTTTTTCATTCCCATTTCTTTGAAAATAGATATTATTGAGATTACTAGGTATCTTTCCATTAATTTAGGTTTTTTACTTAAAAAAATCAGGTTGAATATACCTAATCTTGGTATTGATGACAAGTACCGACTTATCCTTGAGAACTATGGAGCTGACATCGATATGATTTCAAAGATGTACACGAAGCAGAAATACGACCCTCCCTTGGCTCGAGACCAGCCTCCCATCGCAGGGAAGATTCTGTGGGCCCGCCAGCTCTTCCACAGGATCCAGCAGCCCATGCGGCTTTTCCAGCAGCACCCGACCGTCCTGCGCACGGCCGAAGCCAAGCCTGTGATCCGCAGCTACAACAGGATGGCCAAGGTCCTGCTGGAGTTCGAGGTCCTCTACCACCGGGCGTGGCTTCGGCAGGTGCGTCATCCCGTTACGCTCTGCTGGAGGTCTCCACTGTTGGCAGAGGGGGGCCCCTTCTCTAGCTTTCCACAATGCTTGTTACGGACAAAGTTGGACTGGCAGGCATTTTATAAGACAGTTTGATTGAATCTATGTGATCAGTCAAAGGGTAGAATGTCTATTAAAAAAATTATTGATTTTGGAAAAATATAAGCTAGCTTATGGAAACCTATTTTTTAAATTTACAAACTTCTGGGTGAGAAGATCTCATACATTGATTACTCCACTGGTCAGGATGTCTTTTTTTTTTTTTTTTCAATGCAGTCAGATCTTGAATATATCCGTAAACACATATACTAGGTCAGACAATTAAATTGTTGAATGTATCCCAGAAAATGTGCTACATGCCTGGTTGCTGAATATCACTGCATCCACCAGATGGTGAAGGGGAAATGTTTCAAAGGCGACCGTAGTGATACTCAGCAATGAGGTCATGTAGCAATTTTTCTAGGATGAGTTTAGAACTTAATCGTCTAACCTCATATGTTTGTTAAATGAAGTAATAAATTTTCTTCAGCTATACTAGGGGTTAATCCTGTTATCCCTACCAGTATTTGTATTTCTTTGTCAATTAGCAGGATGTGTGAAGTCTCTATAACTGTGTTCATTGTTTTTCTAGATAGAAACTGAGTTTTAAAGATTTTATGGGCTGGGTGCAGTGACGGCCCATGCCTATAATGCTGGCACCTTGGGTGGCCAAGGTGGGTGAATTGCTTGAGCTCAGGAGTTTGGAACCAGCCTGAGCAAAAGCAAGACTCCATCTCTACTAAAAAATAGAAAAACTAGCTGGGTATTGTGGTGGTGCACACCTGTAGTCCCAGTTACTTGGAAAGATTGCTTGAGCCCAAGATTTTGAGGTTGCTGTGAGCTATGACACTGTGGCACTCTACCTATGATGATAGAGTGAGGCTCTGTCTCAAAAAAAAAGAAAATGACATTGTGAAACTTTTCTTAGGAAAAAATAACTAAGTACATAGAAAGGTGTCAGGGAGCTAAATGGCTTTTGTGAAGTCACCACTATTGCAGTGTCTACTTATCTGTCAGTGCCAGAGTAAGATCAAAACATATTATTGAATTGATTGTGCAACATCTCCACCAAAACTTAAAGGCTGCTTTCTGGGAGGGAATTTAGGAGAAGAGTGGGTGATCTCATTGCGTTTAATTTAGGAAGCTCAGTTCCACGGAAGAATACATAGTGATGCTCATTCCCAGAGATGACTGAGCTAGATGCTCTATGTAAGTGTTGAAATTCCCTGTAATAATAATAATATCAATTTCTTCTCACAGATCGAAGACGTTCACATAGGTCTTCAGGCTTCTTTACTGGTGAAGGCTCCAGGCACAGGGGAATTGTTTGTAAACTTTGATCCTCAGATATTAACTTTGTTTAGAGAAACAGAGTGCATGTCACAGATGGGTCTGGAAGTTTCACCCTTTGCGGCTGCCCTCTTCCAGAAACGAGATAGATACAAAAAGAACTTCAGTAACATGAAGGTATGCATTTTACTCCTGCTTGTGTAGCCCTAGAATATGGTATTTTAAAATATTTGGTGGGCTGTCCCCTTTGAGAAGCAGAAAGTGGCCAGGTGACTGCAGTGGAGGATGTGAGTGCTGTGGACTGAGGATGTGGAGTTGGCTGGGGCTAGGTCCCTGAAGAGCTTTAGGTTGAGATAAGAAATTTGGGTTTTATTCTGAATATATCAGGAAATTATTAGAGGATTTTGATCTGGAGAAAAAGGCATGATGTCTTTAAAATAAAAATCATTCTTGCAGCTGAGTGCCAGTGAGAAGCCAGTTTGCAGAATGGTCTAGGATGGAGATGACGGTAGCTTGAGCTAGGATGGAGCAGAGAACTTAGAAAGTTATCTCAACATGCAGGTTACCAGGGAACTCAGGATAATTCCTGTGTTCTTGGTGTGAGCAAATCAATGAAATGAATTAGGGCTTCCACATCGTGCTGTGGAGGATGCACTCTGCACAACTTGCACATGAACACACAGGGCTCAACAACGGAGACAGCAAAGACTGGAATTAGTTTATTTTGAGGGGCAGGCGGGAATCAATAGTTCCAGTCATTAAGTACAAGTGTAGACATCCAAGTGGAGTTGTTATCCATGCAGGCAGATGTAGAACCCTGGAGTTGAGTGGAGATGTTTGAGGGTCCAAGATGGCCTCAACCTGTGTCTGGTTTTTTGGTGGGGTGGCTAGAAGGTGTGCTCAGCTGCATCTGTGGATGGGGGCATCTATCAGTGGTCTTCCAATAGGGAGGCCCCAGGTGAGCAGAATTTCTCAGGGCAGGTGTTTCCAAGAGCAAGTGTTACAGTGAACTGGGAGGAAGCTGCATGACCATCTTACAGCTTAGGTGTCTCACAGCACTGCCTTCCTTATTCTCTGTTGGGCTCCATAAGCCACCCCAAATTCAGAAGGGGGGAGTACCCCCACCCAGGAGGAGAGGAGGATCAAAGAATGTTTTAAAACCACCACAGCTGTAAATGACCATCCAAGGAATTAACTATTCTCTGCTTGCCATTTACTATCTGAGAGGTTAAAAGAGTTGAAAGTGCCTGCTGAACATGAGTAGCTGGTTAAAGCAGATCTCTTGGCGGGTTTGGGGCCGTATCTAAAGTATGGTAGAGGGATGGGGCTGAATATTTAACAGTGTTCAGGCTTCTACAGATACGTCAAAGTAGCCAAGAATTTGTTTTCTTCTTCTATACCTTGAAAGACAGTTGAACTTAAAAAGGGATAAGCTAGCACAGGCCAATAGTTACGAGTATAGATTCTGAAACCAAGTGGATCAGGGTTCAAATCATTTATCTTTGGATAAATTACCTTCCAAGTCTAGGTTTCTCTTTTGTAAAATAGAGGAATAATAGCTCCTGGGGTTAAAGGACTAAAGGTGAGAGGTCGAAAGCCTGCTGGAGGCAGATTCTGAGGGCTGCTTCCAGACAGAGTAACCGGTGGACATTACAGAAAAAGTACATGGGGGATACATCCAGGAAATGTGCAAGTAGCTGCTGATAGAACCATCACGTTTAGACTTTTCTAAAGTGGCTTTGATGGAAATTGAAAGAATATTATAGAAATGGTGGAAAGGTATTATATAAAGAAAAGATTATGAGATCCATTTGGGAAATACTGGGTTTAATAAAATTCTCAAAGCACCATAGGGCTTCTTACAGCCTTATAGCAGATTTCTCATTAAAAATTGTGACAGTCCCAGATGGGAGATACTGTATGCTATGGTTTTCAAATTTACCCATCAGAAGGCCATTTTCCTTACAAAGTCTTTGGGCTTAATATCCCAAGGAAAACACTTTGGAAAACATTGATCTAACATCAACATGCACATATGTAGGATTAATAACAATTGTATTTAAGAGGTACATTGAAGATAGTTGCTTATAATTAATCAGTATTAATATTGATATTACCCTGAAAAGTAAGCTAGAAGTACTTACTCTTAAGCTCATTTAAAAGTGATAACAGGTAAACAAAACACTGACATAGTTCAACATTATACAATAGGTACATTTTCAGTAGAGGATCAGAATCTACCCTATTCAGATCACAAATGTTCCTTTTGATTCTAACTGATTAATTGTAGAAATATTGATTGATTATCTTCCATGCGCAGGCACTGTCACAGACATATTGAACAAAGCAGACAAAATTCTTATCCTTGTAGAACATATATTCTGGTTAGATAAGAAGAAAATAAACAATGAACATTGCAAATAGATAAATCATATAGTTTATTGAAATAAAGTGATAGTTGCTATGGAAAAAATAGGAGGATGAAATATGGAGTGATTGTGGTGGTGGTCTACAATCTCAAATCTGTAGTTGAAATAGGCCTAATTGAGAAGATGGCATTGGAGTAATTATTTGAAGGAGATGCAAAGGTCCTGAGACTAAGGACCAAAAAGGAAGACATAGGCCAGCCCTAAATAGAAGAGGGAAAGTGTGATGGAGATGAGATCAGAGAAGTAATGGGACAAAATTAGGTTTTGTTAGACTATATACCTATCCAAGTGTTTTGTATAAAGATTTGTACTCCTGAATTAGATGAGAACCATGTAACTGTATAAGTAAGGGAGTGACATGATCCAACTTAACATTTTGAAAGGATCACTCCTGCTGCTAAATTGAGTCTAGACTTAGGTGGGAATGAGTAGAGGCAGGGAGACAGTGTTAGACCATCCAAATAATGTGGGTAAGAGTCAATGATAGTGCTAATAGTGGATGTGGCAGGCAAGTCAGATATAGACTCTTTTCTGAGTAGAGAGCACAGAGGATATCTTGATAGGTGTGTGTGTGTGTGTGTGTG